CTATCCACAAGTGGGTTCTGTAGTAATTCATAGTGAGGCAGCTGAAGGGAGGGGGACTTTTAATATTTTCCTTCATCTTGACCTTTAACCAAATTGCTAAATGTGAACGGGGGGGGGGGAGGGTTGTTTTTGTTTGTCATTATGTTATGCATTTTTTGTGCTTTTATATTGTGAACTGCCCTGTGATCCTCGGATGAAGGGTGGTATGGAAATTTAATTATCCTCTTAATCAACATCGTCATCATTTTGCATTTGGGCAGCAACATAGTTCTTACTCGGCTGGTTACAATATAACAGGGCCAGATTTGATGAAGTGAACATGCATGAGGGCCGACCAAAGTTGTTGACATTTTTAAAGGATTTTACCCCAGGAAATAAACTGCCACAGGAGCAGGATTAAAACGGCTGAGGGGCCAGATTAGGCCCCTGAAACGGACTTTGGACATGCCTGCAATATAACAATACCACTCAGTGCTGTCCCTGAGATTACCCACTCTGATTTCACACATATTGATCAGTTTCCTTAACCGAAAGGTCTTGCCATGAAACATGTCAAGCATGATCCAGCAATTTTGACAGACAGCTCTTCCCCTTGCAAAGGTTGCATCTAACATTATTCCAAACTGTATTTTCCCCCCCTCATCGATTATAAGAGTCTATTTTGTATATACACCATCAACTAATGAAGCTAGCTGAACATAAAAGCTACATATAAAGTATGTTTTATTTAATCACAGCAACAACAAAAATAAATAAATAAATAAATAATAAACAAACAAACAAACATATGACACATGAACATTAAGAGATAAGATTTTTGAACCTTTATTCAAGAAGCAAACATATTGAAATTACATTTAAATGCAGGTGCCACATTTTTGCCACAGTTGCTTGTAAACAGATTGATAAAAACACAATTAAATCAATCATTAAACATTATTAAAGACCATAAAATGTAAAGAGCCATTAGATGCAAGAAAATATTCTCAATTTGTACCGTTGTTCAAAAGCAGGCTGGAGAATCACTGGCCCAGGAAATAAGCCACATTGAAAAGCATAGTACTTACTTCTCAGTAAACATTCACATAATAGTGCTGTAAGAAGACAGTATGAATGAATGATCACTTGCTGAAACTTAAAAGTTTGCAAAAACCTGTGGAAAATGCTACAGAGTTAATGAAATTACCTGAAGTGCTACAGGGAAACATACATTGACTGCTCCTAATAATGAGTTTAACTAGAAGACTTCCTCATTATCTACACATTACAAAAAAGATTTAGAGGTGGGAATAAAATTAGTTTCAACAACTTATAATACCTTACCTTACCTTGGTGGAGACGTGTGCTACAAAATGTCTATCTTGCTATTAGAAGAACAAAACCAAAAACAAGCACAATCATTCAAGTTTGTCCTTTAACCTACTTGCATTAACAGTTTTTACAAAAGAAAAAACCTTTAGATAACTGATTTCATACCCCCCAATATTTCTCCAATGAAATAGGGACGTCCGATTCCATAATTTTATTTTTTATATTATTTATATCCCACACATCGTATTGGGTTGCCCCAGTACTCTGGGCAGCTTACAACATGTATAAAACCATAATAAAACAGTAAACATTTTTTTAAAAAACTTCCCTGTACAGGATTGCCTTCAGACAACTCAGGGATTGTATAACTCCACACCCTCCTAACATTTCTGCAATGAAAACAGGGACATCTTAAGGAAAAGCGGGACATTCTGGGACCAAATCAGAAACCGGGATAGCTTCTCTAAGTGAGGGATGTCCCTGAAAAATAGGGACACTTGGAGGGCCCCTCTACAATAAGCCAATTTCTATTTCTATTAATCAGGATGTAATAGAAATAAGAAAACAATTCTGTTTATCATCTTCCAATATATAGTAATATTATTCATGTGATGTGCAGGAATTACCAAGCTTTTTGGACTAGTTGGCATATTTTGAATTTTGAGGTAGTGCTATGGCTGTCTGTCACAAAATGGCAGCCATTGGAAAGTGGCATAGCACAAAATGGCTGCCATGAGGGTCATGGCATTGCTGCTTCCCCCAAAGACAACCTCGTGCTAATCTTAGGAAGTCAGTTATTCCCTGAGCAGAACCTAGCTGCATACTGCATACTGCAAATATTTCCCACAAACAGTTTCTTTGGAACATAAACCCCAATTGCTCACTGTGAGTGCTACCCTTCTCTTTTTCTTCCCAGAAGAAATATACTGTAGCGAATGGAGATGTAATGCATTGATCAAATAATGAGTATAGCATTTGCTATTCCAGTAAATGGCCACAGCTTGAAAACAAACTGCCGTTTGACTACCTTTTCAAACATTGCTCAATACAGCCAACATTCATTTCTGAGACTTGAAAACCTTGACACCAAAACCCAGCCAGTCTCATCTGACTGCTCTGTATCCTAAAGTGTGTCCATCAGGTAAACACAATTTGATAGCTACATCAACCTCAATAAACTCACTCAACAAAGTCTGTTAATCCTGATTATAAATAATATGGTAAAACCTCAACAGGAATTGACTCATTTTTCAGACCAAGAAAAAAACACAATTCATTCAATATTATTTCGTCTGAAGGTTGAAACGTAATTGGAATTATGTGAGCATATGATATTGGCCATAGTTCTGAGTGTCCTTGTTCCACAAAAAGTCCTAGGGTAATGGATGGTAGCGGTCTATTAATCTCTCGTTGTTGAGCTCCCAATTAAAGCAACTTTCATATAACTCAGCCACTAATTTTCACACATACACATGTGCACACTTCCATCTTGTAAGGGAAGTTTCCCTATTCTACAAAACACCACTCACATAGGATGTGATGGTAATGTATCTCATTTTAGGACCTTGGGACAGCACTGCATCGACGAGTATGTCTTATGTTAAAATGTGCTTTGTGGCATATTGCTAGGAGGCAAGAAAAGTAACACCACTTAAACCTTAGATATGCATTTCCCCTCTGGGAGAAAAGAGAGTCGGCAGTTGTTATTCTGTTTCCAGCTGGCATAAAGCACAAAAGAGGGGAGAGAAATATTGCAGGATGTATTTGCCCTGTAAAATGTCACAGTGGTACACTAGTTTATTATTGTGAAGTTTTTAAAATGTCTCAATGACAATTACTTAAAAGATCTAGTCTTGAACATCAAGTTTTTTGGTGTTATTGTATTAATGCAGCCTTAACCAACCTAGGGTCCTCCAGTTGCTTTGAACAAAAAGTCCCATCAGCCCCAGCCAGCACATATCTCCTAAGCACTAGTGGGTAGAGTGGTAGAGCAGAAGCAGAAGCAGCACTCACCAGACCTCCTGCCAGTTGAATTTCTTACCCAGAAGGAGAGGAGAAAGGCAGTGGAGAGGTTGGCTTGGTGCAAACACAACAGCAGGAGCACTGAATTGGCATATGCACTACATCAACCTCCCCACTGCTACTGATTCTAAGAAATAGAATTGGGGGAAACAATGGACCACGGATGAAGAATTCTGTTGACTAACCTCAGTAGAGAATCAAAGCGCTTCATAGCCTTGGACAGGGTTGGAGAACCTCGGGGCCTATTTGGCCCTCAGGACTTTCGCAATGCCACCCACCTCCCCAGTTCTGCACATGCCTCAAGTGATTTTGCCCGGCTCAAATGTGTCCTTGAACTGTGATAATGCCTCTTGCTTGTTTGGATGCAGGGGAATGTGTACATGGGATGGTGGTGTAGACATGTCTGCGTAACTGGCACGTAGCCAACAGTACAGAGGTAGGTATCACATCCACATTTGCCTCTGTCCCTGCCCACCACTGGGTGGAGGATCCTCTGGAACAGCATGGGAGGTGATGCAGGGTGAGGGGGAATCCAACCCAGAGCTGCTACATATCTACCCAAACCTTTAGAATGCTGTAATTTGGAAAAGTTAGAAGCAGCAACTGATTTTGTAAGCCCGGGCTCTTCCAAGGCTAAATTACGGTAAATGCTGAAGGAAAATATGCACGTTTTTAGGGGTGTCAATTGCCAACGCCATCTAACCCCCTCACCAAGCCTCCCCTGCCACTAACCTTTGCTTGTCAAACCTGCCTAGCCTTCACGAAGCCCCCATGTTTTGCGCCAACCCCAACTCCTAGACTTTGCCATCCCTCCAGTCCCCCCATTAATCTATTTGTCCTTCTGGTTCCACCTCATGCCACCACTGCAGCCAAGTGAGACCACTGGCCCACCAGGAGGATCACTGCAGGAAACAGACCTGAAGTGGTGGCTAGCCAGTCAAGAGATCTGCTGCAGGCCAACTCTTCATTATAAATGGTGACAGTAATGGCAGATTACCAGGCTGGCTAGCTAGCCACCACTCCCAATCACTTTCCTGTGCTATTCCTCCCGCTAGGCTGGCTCTTCATCCTAACTGGTGGCAGAAACAGTGGATCCCCAAGATGGCTGGGGCAAAGCAGTGTGCTCCAGCTGTCCCCCCACTGCTTCTTATCATGCTGCTGTTTGCAGTGCCACACACCTGTGGCCAAGCTTACTACAATGTGAGAACAACCTTACATTTTTATTATATGTATATAGAAAAAAAGCTCTCACTTATTTGAGAAACGCTTAATCTGCTGAAAATAAGAAAATCTTAAATTGCATCTTCACTTGATTGTAGAACCAAATTTGCCATTAAATGTAATTAGAACCTTTTTGTGTTGCATTAAAGGCAAGTTTAGATAAACAGTTCTTATAAGGTTTCTCTTGTCAGAACTGATAAATGCTCAACATTATATACATGGGAAGAAGTACTTTTAATTGAGCTTGTTATGTTTACTAGGCAAAAACTGCTGTCCACGTCGGTAGAGCCATGTCTTTTGGGGACTTTCATTTTACTGCACTTACAGTAAGTTTTTACTTGCATTTATATTTTACTTTCCACAGATAAGGTCAGTGCAGTCCTTACTTCTTTTAATTTGTTATAAAATCAAAAGGGACGCAATAATTCAGAATACATGCCACAAAAAAGGCTTTGAAGTAAAATTTTATTGAGTTTTTAAAAAATACATTCACAAATGTATTCTAATACTGTGCAATTCCAGTACTTCAAATGACATAAATTACAAAGGTTAGAAAAGTTCATATATGCTGTATATGAAACATCGTCAACAAGAGAATGCAAAGCAATGTTTATCAAATACATGCAGCATGGCTTTGATGCAAATGCCTCCTGCAGAACACAATAATCTTGGAGAAAGGCACTTTGGAGTAAGATTACTATGAGTATTTAGGGTACCACAATACTTTTCCCCCCCTTTACTATATAATGAAAATCGCTAACATAAATGGTCAGAGATACTGGCAGGATGACAAGCTTGGAGCCAAGCAGTATCATGCTCACAGGAACCTTTATAACCCTTGCAGTAACTCTTTATTTCACACCACCACAAATAGTAATTTGAGTTTGCACATTAAATGGGGGGTGGGAACTTTCATCACTATATCTCACCTATAAAATAACTTGTGTTCCCACTTTAAAGAGTAAAGCACCTTTTAGAACAGAGATGGGAAACCGATCTCCTTTTGAAGGTCACACTTGGTCAAGGTGGGTGCGACCAAAGTCAGTTTTGGAGGGGCAGGTCCCAGAGCTAGGCAAGGCACACCCTTTTGAATACCCAGATTAAATCAGATTGAAGGCCACATGAAATAAGGCCAGAGGCTACGGGATACCCATCCCTGCGCCAGAAAGTGAACATTATCATTTGCCTTTATCATGCCACCTTTAAAAAGGTGTATTCTGTATTATTTGAAAGTGATGGTGAAAGACAGACTTTTGGAACACCAGGAAAAGAAGATCAAAGCTAAATTTTTTGCTGCAGCATAATTTATAAGGCAACTTCACAACCTAACCCTATGCATGTTGACTCAGGAATAAATCCCACTGTCTTCAGTAGAGTAAACTGGTGTCTGGGTTACTCCCAAGCAAACGTGTAGAGGAGGGCAGCGTTAATTTTTAATACCTCTACTCTTACCAGAGCTAAAACTACTTTTAAAATTAATTATCTCAAAACTTCCAGCAACACAGAATCGAACTGTCAATGCATGAAATGCAGCTGCAGGATTGTATCCCATTTTCTCACTCATGCAAAAGCTCTTCTTTAAGAGTGTATTTCAAAGCATTACAAACCCTGAGTAATTTAAGAATCAAATAGTCTGAGTATTTTACAAACATTAACATTAAAATGTCTTTGTGCTATTGTCACGAAGAAATGCTTACTACAGTTATTTCAGCACTTTGGCAAAATGAAACTTTTTTTTTTGCATTTGATATACTTTCAATACCTTTTTTCTGTACTTCAGGATTTTTTTGTTTTTAAAAAGCAAAAGTTGTATCAAATTTAAGTATTGAAACAAAACTCCACATCACTGCAAATCCACCTAACCTGCAAGACAGTCCCAATTTGCAAAATGTAGGTTGCAGTCCAAAAAATTCTCACAAATTGCAGCAAGTTGCATGTATCCAACTAAAGAGAAAGACTAGTACTTAAAAGGCAATACATTTACCCTGTGTTAGGCTGGCACCAGATACAAAAAGCGGACCCATATCCAATAGTGCATGGTTTTTCCCATTGGTTTTGGACCACAACTCCCATCATCGCTAGCTAGCAGGACCAGTGGTCAGGGATGATGGGAACTGTAGTCCAAAAACAGCTGAAGATCCAAGTTTGGGAAGCCTTGCAATAGTGTAAAGCTATTAATGCATGCAAATAATATATGTCATCATATGCGTATGCATGTATACACATACATACATACATACATACATACAATGCACTCTAAGATCCGTGTCATAGTAAAGCTCCCTGTAAGCCCTAAAGTGCAGATCCATATGAAAATCCATGGTGAAGTCTACCACTGTTCCCAGGAAAAATCATCTCCTCTTCCAAATAGAACAAAAAAGCCTAAAATGGTAATGAAAATTACTGCATTTCCAGCCAGAACAAGGCAACAAGCTCCCCACTTGATCTGAAATACAAAGTGAACAGAAGAAAGATTTACTCTCTATTCATTGATAGAAAATGCACGCTACTTTGAGCATTAGACACATACAAAGAAATACAACATCAGGATGCTAAAAGCGCTTACGATCAAACAGTAAATTTTGAGTACCAAGGAAACTAATGTAATCTGAAATTGTTACATACCTAAGTAGTCATTACAGGAACTAATTAAACATTTCGCTAAAATGCAGTGATATATATAAACAATTATTTGTCCTTTATGAGTACAGTAAAACTGGTCGAGAGAGCAGTTCGTGAAAAGTTTACAAGATGTTCAGTGGTAATTTTTCAAGCTCATCCACAATGGAAGGGGGAAATCATTTAGGGTAATTTAGCGGCAGCCAGCCATAGTCTTCTCAAAAGAGCAAATTAAAAGTCTGCCCCCATTACTAGAACTATGAAGGCCTGGACATCCCACTGTCCACACATTACTTCTCTTTGCCACCTTGGCCAAACTTATATTTGGGTGAAACTGATAAAATAAAGACAAATATGATATCATTTATCTTTGAATGGTGAGTAAAATGGTTTTGGAAAAACAATGTTTTAAAATAATATTAAAAAGAATTTAAAGTAAAGGTACCCCTGCCCGTATGGGCCAGTCTTGACAGACTCTAGGGTTGTGCGCCCATCTCACTCAAGAGGCCGGGGGCCAGCGCTGTCCGGAGACACTTCCGGGTCATGTGGCCAGCGTGACAAAGCTGCATCTGGTGAGCCAGCGCAGCACACGGAAACGCCGTTTACCTTCCCGCTAGTAAGCGGTCCCTATTTATCTACTTGCACCCGGGGCTGCTTTCGAACTGCTAGGTTGGCAGGCGCTGGGACCGAACGACGGGAGCGCACCCCGCCGCGGGGATTCGAACCGCCGACCTTTCAATCGGCAAGCCCTAGGCGCTGAGGCTTTTACCCACAGTGCCAACCGCGTCCCATCAGTGTAAAAAGAATTTACACTGTTGTAAATCTCTTACAGCTAAAATAAATTTAAACTGTTAAGTGGTTGTTATTGACTAATAGGGCAAACCTCTATCTGTCTACTCAAAAATAAGTCCCATTAATTCAATAATGCTTGCTCCCAGATAAATGGGCATAGGATTACAGGTCCACCAAGCATTCTTCTCAGAACTTGGTGCTGGAAAACTACTTTCAAATGCACGTATATGCAAAAACTCTGGTCAACCTGGGAACATTGAGTTCCTGCAACACGGAAGGCAGAAAGACATTTGAACAACACAGTCACTAATCTCTTGTGCTTCTCACTGAGCCTTCAATTCCTGATCTTGTGCATCAGGGGACGCAAACCAATATTGTTTGAAAACATGCACACTATTAAGCAAAAAGCAGACATGGAAGATTGAGAACAATGATCCAAGGAAGCAGCCCATTTTTAAAAGTTGATGATATAAACTTTATAGTAACACTGCTTGGCTCAATATACATATTAATGCTACTTCTTGATTATATTATAGGTTTTCTGAACTTTCTAAAAATATGGAAGTTTTTTAAAAAAATAAAATAAAATGGTATTATTACTGCTAGCAGTCTTTTTTATATAAAAGCACCTAAAAAAACTAGAAGCTGTAAAATGATTGTAGTAAACAAAATGTAGGTTTTATTACATGGTTTTATTCTTTGTTAAAGTTATAGACCCATAACACAAACTCAATACTTTCTACTACAGTATTTTATTTAAGTTTTCCCAACTAACAAAAACTAAGATATACCTAAATACCTTTGGAAGCAGTAACTTTCAAAACTCCATCTCTAGCACTGGCACTATTGAGAAATATTGTTTCAATACAATTGATGCTGCAAACCTATAAAGATCTACTGTACTTCGGAGCAAATAAGTCTCACAGAACTCTGTGCAGTTTACTTCAAAGCACTGTGCTGCGTAGCACTTATATTTTTACATTTCATAAATATGCCACATAGATCAGCAAATAAAATTCTACTGGCTTAGCCATTATTCACTTTAAGCTCTTCCAGTAAAGTAATTTTGGGTTTTATATGTATTGTACAGATTTTCTTTCACCAAAAACCTGTAAAAATGTTCCTCCCACCCATGGTTTCTGCATTTCCAGATGTTTTACAATCTTCAGCCTTTAGCAAAACATTGTTTGGTTAAGAAAAGGAATTAGAGCTCTCTCTAGTGGTCGCACTGTATTATTTATTCTTATTTAACATTCTTAACAAAGAGAAATGGACTAAGTAGTGGGAGATGTATACAGTCATACCTTGGGTTACGAACGATGTGGGTTGCACGTTTTCGGGTTGCGGGCCGTGGCGGACCCGGAAGTACCGGAACGGGTTACTTCCGGGTTTTGGCGCTCACGCAGAAACTCAAAATGACATCATGCGCGTGTGCAGATGCAGCGCTGTGGGTTGCGAACGTGCCTCCCGCATGGATCATGTTTGTAACCCAAGGTATGACTGTATACTACTACTAGAAAATAAATTAGATAAGATCTTGGAAAGGAGAATTCTAGACATAACAAGTTTATGGAACCTCAACTAAGGGCTCGGGAGTAAGGAAACCAGGGAGAATACTAGTAGATATGAGAAAGATATAAATATATCTTTACGTGCTTCTATTCTGGTAACAAAGCACCCTGGCTTAATCATTAAGGCAAAGTCAAGTGCACTAACCAAAAAAATTATTTATCTTAACCTGTCCTATTAAGGTCCCAAAGTGAATGAGAGCAAACAGAACAGTAAACAAGATAGAAATGTAAATTGGGTGAAACAGACTGTTCACCATTTGTGAATGGGAGGGATGTTTTAAGAACAGTGAGCTGGAGACTGGAGTTTCAAAGGATTTCTAACTGGACACTGGAAGCAAGACAGCCAGCATTCTGCTGCCCAGTATGGTTGTCATTAGCCTATCTTGTCACAGGCAACCAACAGGGGAAGGAGAACAGAGCACAATAATAACATGCAAGGGCAGCAGCTCTCGCCTACTGATGCTGCTGAACTCACTTACTCCTGCTGGTAGGGAAGCAGATAGAGAGGAATACCTGAATGAAAGCCAAAACAGCATCTGCAATAGCTAACACAAACACCCAAAAATAATTTAGAGGAGCCAAGCATTAAAGCAGGTAATAGTTTGCATTCTTAAAACATGGAAGGTGAGCAACTGCAGATATCAGTAATCGCAGCATGTAGCATCTCCTTCTGCCTTCCTGCTCTCTGTGGATTTGGAAAAGTTGCCGAGCAGATAATGGAAAGCAGTATGAAGTCCCGCTATGCATACTTGCAAGCACAGGTGGGCATATAAAGGAGCTCCCGTCATCAAAGCCAGACAATGCAATCCAGTGTGTGTTAACTATGCCTAAACCCCTGTAAGTTCAGCTAGGTGTTTACACTCCTCTAGACTGCAGTTAGAAAACATTTACTGCAGAGATTTCAGAATTCCACCTGCACAACCAGTGGTTTATTCACGTGAAAACCTTATTGCAAAATATAGTTTTCAAAAGGAAACGAACCAGAATGCATGTAAACAATGCAAGAAGACCACAGTGGCCACAGTGATCCATGCGATGGTCACCTCCAGGCTTGACTACTGTAATTCGCTCTATGCGGGGCTGCCCTTGAAGCTGTCCCAGAAACTCCAGCGGGTGCAGAATGCTGCAGCGAGGCTCCTCACGGGGTCTCTGCCATGGGAGCATATTCACCCAGTGCTTTTCAAGCTGCACTGGCTCCCGGTGAAGTACAGGGTCAGATTTAAGGTGCTGCTTTTGACCTTTAAAGCCCTTCACGGCCTAGGACCCTCGTACCTACAGGACCGCCTCTCCCGGTATGCCCCACGGAGAGCCTCAAGGTCCATAAATAGCAACACCCTAGTGGTCCCTGTTATGTAGTGTAGTTTCACCCTGGGCCAACAGGGGGATACTGTATATAGTTTTCACTCAGGTCTGTAGACAGTTTTCACTCAGGTCCGCGCCAGTTATTTTAGGCGGGAACTCTGGGCTGTTGTGGTTACAATGTTGACAGCCGGCTGCCTATAAATACAGGCCGGCTGAGCTGTTCGAGTCAGTTCTATTCCAGCTTACCAGAATAAAGAGCTACTTGAAGAAATCGCTGTGCCGGCTGCTATGTCAACCCACGACTTAACACTGGCGACGAGGATGGGATGGATGGACATCAGAGCACAGCCAGATGTGGCCAGCCTCTGAACTGAGCTGAATCACTGAGCTGAATCACAGAGCGAAATCACTGAGCGAAATCACTGGGCAGAACCAATTCAGAGCTGACTGTTCTGGCTAGAGCACTGTGTTCCATCCATCGCCCTTCACGCCGGCATCGGAATCATGGCTTCACTTGTGCGTCTACCGCCGTTTGCGCCAGCCTCTGAATCATGGGACTCCTACCTCGCTCGGTTCGACTGCTACCTCCAAGCCAACGAGCTGACAGCAGTATCAAAGGATCGGAAGCGGGGCCTATTCCTCAGCCTCTGTGGGCCTGAGGTGTTTGAGACGGCCCGAGCGTTGGTTGCGCCTGAAGCAGTCCAGGCAACACCATGGGACACGATCCAAGAGAAGCTCCGCAACCACTACGCACCAAAGCCGTCCAAGATTGCTGCCCGCCATGCGTTCTACCACCGGAACCAGGCAGAGGGGGAGTCAATCAACAACTACACCACCGCCCTGCGACGGGCTGCAATGCACTGTGAGTTCCGAGACTTAGACGATGCCCTGATGGATCGAATCGTCTGCGGGGTCCGGGACATCCATCTGCAACGGCGCCTCCTAGCCAAGCCAGACCTCACGCTACAGAAAGCCATTGAGGAGGCTGTGGCCTCAGAAGCTGCTGAACGCTCCGCCCAGGAGATCCGCAAGTCCAGCAGCCCGCGTCTTGCTAGGGAGCCAGTTCCGGTGCATCATGAAGAGGCCAGCAGTGAGGAGGCATCCTCCAGTGAAGACGATGACGTGCACCAGACAAAGCGGGAGCGCAGGAAGTTCCAACAGA